CTATTAAAACACCTACTGAAAAATGAAATTATAACGAAAAGCTAGATGATGTAGGCCAGTGAACGACCCATGTCCTTTGTACATACATATGAAACATTATTACTAGGTTTATATATATTTAAAATAAATAAATTAATTAATAAATAAATAAAGTTTACTAAATCTGAGAAATGAATTAGCTATTTTTGCAGTAAGTGCCATAAATATTACTTAAATAATATTTAAATATAAAAGTTTAAAAATCGTAATATACATATACTTTGATATAGAAAAATAATTTTACTTAATATAAGTAATTTGAAATACATTTCCTTCTGTTATAAAGTAATATAGTCTATTAAACCCAACAATGAAAATATTTTAAAGTTGTAATTAAAATTGTAGTTAAATAAAATGATTTCTAACCTAAACTTCTTTTACTTAGTACTACACGTACTTAAAAGAATCCAATAAAACACCTATAGTAAAATAAAATTAATATGAAATGCCAGAAGATGTAATCTTTTGAATGACCCGTGTCCTTTTTACTTACATGAGAATTTATATATTAATAGATTTATATATATATAAAAAATAAAAGTTTACTAAATCAGTGAAATTAATTACCTATTTTTGACGTCATTGTCATAAATTTTACTTAAATAATATAAAAAAATATAAAAGAAAAGAAAAGAAAAAAGTACCCTAATATACATACTTATATTTGATGTAAAAATAATCCTACATACTATAAAGGATTCTAATACATTTAACTGTTCTTAAAAAAACTATAGTATAATAAAAATTAAAAATGAGAATATTTCAAATCGTAGTTAAATAAAAAGTATTCTAATCTGAACACCCGCGAAAATCTTTAAATTTACAAATAGAAAAAAATGCCGTAAGAATTTTTTTGCCGTTAACAATAAATTTAAAAAAAAAATCCAGACGACATGCATTCAACGGATGTCAGTTCTCATTGAAAAATACATCCCTACCCTTACCAAAATGTAGCTAATAACCGATACAATGATACAGACATAAGGAAAACCCAGACAACCTTTGTCCAGTTGAAGTAGATTTATCTGTAACCATGGAAACGTGATTTTATCTGTGTCTTTAAAACCAAGTAATTTTAAAAGTTACTCCAAAATTCGCTTGAGGATGAAATGGAACTAATGTCTTTAATTTAATTGCAAAATTAAATTCGTAGCTTTTAGCTTCCATTTTTGAAACATGGTTAGAACTGTGTAGCGGAAAAACATATTTTAAATTAATTAATTTATAATATTAATGCTCTGTAAATTTACATCGAGCACTATTTTGTAAAAATAAAAATACCTATAAGAACACCGGATTATATATCTGTTGAAACTTGACTAATGCATCGAATAATAATGCAACACAAAATGTACTTAGAACAAAATGTATTGAAACAAGAAAGTGTACAAAATATTTACATATAGTCTTTTGTATATTCCTGGTAAGACCGTTCCTGGAGAATGTGTTGACTGAGTCGCAGTCGGGCAGAGTCTCTGGTTGAATCTCTTGATTCCTTCCTCTCTTCCCGGTACCAACCATATCTATATGGTCGGTACTCCACTATGCAAATTAGGTGGATCCTACCACAACAATATCTTACTGTTCTTTCTTTTTATTTATATATTTATGCGTATGTATGTGTGCACGCGCGTAAATTCTGAGTAAATCTAACATGTTTGACATTTATTAAAGTTTCACCAGCGAATTAAATATTTTATTTTCTGACGAACCTTTAATAGAATCAAATATCAAAATATATATTCATGTGTATATGTGGGCGTGTGTCGATCTGATTGTGAGACAAATGTAAAATAAACAGGTTGCGTAAATAGGTGAGCACTGATTTCAATGCGCACATACGAATAAATACATAAAATATCTCCTTCTATTGCTATTTATCTCACCCTCACTTTTATATATATATATATATATATATATATATATATATATATATATATATATATATATATATGTATGTATGTATGTTGCTGGAATTTTCTTATACCAATAAAATGAAAAGTAAAATACAAAAGCTCTAGATGAATATAAGAAACATTTGCCTGTCAATATAAAATTTAAAATAATTATTGAAAATTTATAAACGTATCGAATGCTTATCTCATGCCCGGGCTATTGGCTGGGTCGATTGATTAACTTAAATGTATGCATCGACACGTGCACACACATATAAATTTATATATACATTGATATATGTGCTGACAATTTTAGCATATTATAATAATATATATATGCATAGGTATATGCATAGAAATACACACACACACACACACACACTCATATATATATATATATATATATATATATATAATATGTAAATATCTTTTAATTGAATGGAAGCTAAAATTTCGTGAAAATGCTTTCATGAAAAAACAAATAAACGCACACAGAAATATGTTATGAAATTTATATAACTATATATAAGATTATGTATGTCGATGTTTGTATGTTGAAATCGATACTTTTTCTTTGGCGCGAAAAATACATTTTATTCTTGGCTCATATAAAGTTTATCTATGCATGTGTGTATGTATGTATAAGTGAAAACAAGCAGATCTATGTAAAATGTGTATAGCTGTAATTTCTTAATCTACCTTCACGTGTGAATTATTGATTTTGATAAATCATTATTTACGTCCTGTTTTTACCTTCCTGCTCATTAGGCTTTAATTAACTTATTTCATCATTTATTCCCGTTAATATTTTTACCTGATTTTTATTGTTCGTTTTTCTTACCATTTTTTTTTTAATTTCCTAGCTTCTTATTGATTCTCCTTTATTCATTTTCCAAACAAATCGCGCTGTGAGAAATTCTGACACGACAGACCTCTGTCTGTCTCTGCCTCTGTGTCTCTCTCTATCTCTCTCTTTCTCGTTTCTGCTGTCTCTTTACATGAGAAAACGAATACATACATATGAACGGATATATATATATATATATATATATATATATATATATATATGAACGAATATATGTATATATATATATATATATATATATATATATATATATATATATATATAAACACCCTCGGTTATCATTGCGAAGAAAGTCCATAGTAGTGATTTAAAGCACTATGTTTGTCCGCCTGTGCCACAACAGAGCATAGGTTGCTCCACTTCGGATGCTGGAGAATGATTGGCAACCTGATGGGAGTAAAATTTTCACGTTTCTAATTATCTACGGTATCGACGCTGTGGAAAGACTTGAAGCCTGCGCGAATATCATCATCATCATCATGACCAGATGTGATTGATATGGACGCTTCCCAACTGAGTACCCGACCCTTTCCCGCTACATTTGTTTAAATGCCAGAGAACAATGCACCCTCGCCTTTGTCTTCTCTCTAAGAAACAGCGATGCCGTGTCATTTATCAAATAAGATATCACTAAATAATAGAACATTTGTTGCATTTGATAATTAAATATTTACTAAAACGTTTAGGGAAGGTAGCTTTCGCGTAATGATTTTACAATAATCAAGATTTTAGCTCAGATTTGTTTATGATGACGTAAGCAATGGTTGAATGGAAATAATTTTCTTCCTATTAAAATTCTTCATTTATGTGATGTGTTCCTTCGTGTAAAATCAATGTTCTCCACAACTTTGTATCTCTTAGCAATCTTATGCTTTTAACATCACTCCGAATCTCTGCTCAGTCACTCTCTTGCTATTGATCACCTTCAGTATATTCCGCGTGTGTTAGATTCTCCAATCCTTCTTCCTAGAGGTATGTCCCGGATATTTCATCTGTTTCTTTCTGGTTGTATGTATAGTTATCCTTTTTATTTCTGTTTTCCTTAAAACTTCCACTTTACTCACATATTCCATCCATGATATTTTCAGCAATCTTTTGTAGAACCACATACCTGTTGACTCAAGTCTCATTTTCATCTGTAAGGAAATTGTCCTGGAAACACTGCCATATCAGACCCCTAATTTTTGCATGAATTGAGAATACCCCTTGAATTTAACAATCAAACAGATTATGCATTGTACACATTATGCATTGTTAATATATTACTTTGAAAAATAAATATTGTTTCGCACTATAAAGTTCATCACCATAAAGTATACTTTTTTGTGAGTTACAATGCAAAAGCTTCAATACATAGTGTTGCGTGAGTCAGCACATTCGTTGCAAGGTTTGTTGTTTTACTGTGAATATTTAACGGTATCTAGCCACACCCAACGAGGGTTTCATGTGGCACAAGGCCGAGTTTAGCGTGGGTTTCCCGAACCCGTAGGCTCGGCCAAAAAATGCCCGAAGAACCCGTATAAACGGGATCGGGTTGGTCACCCTCCCCGAACGAGATTCTGCCCTTCGGCGGAGCCTCGTCCGGGTTCCTATCTGCTCAGAGGCAGAGAGTTCAACCGTCAAGTCGAGAAGCTCGGCTTGATTCTGGAACATGTCCCGCAAACAGTATTTGGCGGACTCATGTGAGTCCCAGTAAAATAAGAAACAGAAAACGTGGATTTTAAACAGAGGGCATTTAAATGCGTGTAGTAATACAAATAAATTACATTAATATGTGCCTTGCTGAAAGGGGAAACTAAATACCTCGCGATTAAGAACGTGCTTTTGTGTGTGTGTGTGTGTGTGTATATGTGTGTGTGTCTGTGTGTCTGTGTGTGTCTGTGTGTGTATGTGTGATACGAGCGTGAGTGATTCAAGCGCGTATATCCTTCGTCAGTCGACCGTGAAAACGAACGTGCCCCAACGGCGACATTCTTTGATTACGTTCTACTACATATGGAAACCAGAAGAAAATTGGCTAGTTAGCATCTTATAGAGTTAAGCAGCGCCACCTAATGGGCATTTTATCCAAAGTCAAATTTGGGAACCCGCAATAGATTATAATAGGTTGATTGATCTTAAAACGTATAAATTCTTACTGGGTTACTTATTATCGGATTTTGTAAGAGGCATGTAGTGACGATCGAAGTCACGAATCAGATTTAAAACATGTACATAAATGAACAGACGGATATGAACAGATAGATTATGATACCTAATCTAGACTGATTGAGATAGATAGATAGATAGATAGATAGATAGATAGATAGATAGATAGATAGATAACATGTTCTTCAAAGCTCAAAACTTATATACCTTCGTCTTTTATAATTTGAAATTTGAACAAAAAACACACTTTTATTCTTCATCTCAACCATACTTTGAATTGTTTCATCTGTAAGAATTTCTTCAGTATTTACTGACATATAAGAGGATTGATATTGCATAGCAGTTCAGTAGTAATTTATTTGCTATTGCCTCATGCTTTTGGATTTCACTTTTCAAACATACTTTGTAAACATCCCATCAGCAAAGACTTCTTAAGAACAAAATTATAAAAGTATTGTAAGAATGACTTTGTGAAATAACCACAGGCAAAGTAAAACATAACTAAACCCAAAATTAGCAAACTTGGACTATCGTCCCAACAAAAATAACAGAGCTTCAAAAGGACGGTTTTTCCGTTGACACGACTATTATTTTAACTACCTTTACTGCTCGGCAATGTATATTCATTTAAATAGCAACTATTAGAACTATAATCAATTTTAAATACACTTCTGGAGAACTGACTACAACAATAATAAACACTATGTATTTATTAGATTGTTTATTGAATTGTTGAGAAAACCGTTGGTAAATGATAAATAAGTCATCGCGATGTAAATATAAAAATATTCTAATAAACACGAAATTTAATAAATATTGTTGTAAATTCTCAAGAACAGAAGACTAAAGGTATAAATTCATTTTCACCATATGTCATGGCTTATCGCTTCTTTTAAAAACAACATACACTGCCGATGATAGAAGGTAGTTAAAATATGCGCGATAAAAATAGAAAGAAAAAACGTCCTTTTAACTTTCCGTTTTTTGCAGGTACGAAAGACCAAGTGTGCCATAAAATGAATATTTAGTTTATAAAGTCTGCATGTATGTGTAAAAAATATTTCGTCTTTGTGCCTAACTGAATTTTCCTGTTTGTTAATTCTAATAATATAACTGATGTTATTTGATGGGTTAACATTGCTTCTAAAATATCGCTTAAATTAAATACCGTGTTGAATTTCACTCAGACTCATGTTCGACAAAGAACAATAAAATGGAAAATATGGTGTTCAACAAGAAGTGAAGGAATTAAAGGAAATGTTTCAGGTGAACTTTATAAAATACACCTGCGAAAGGAAATGAATTATATATTTTCTTTCTTTTTTCTTTTATTTCTGTTATATTCAGGAATCAATGCTTGACTCAAGCATAGACAACACCAGCTGTGGAATTGTCATGATAAAAAAAAATGTAAAACATCGGTTGGATTGAATCTTTCAATCAAATATATTTCCAGTTAACAATAATAAAAAAAATAAAATAAAACGAAAATGTGTCTCTGAAAAATTGCGTGTATCAGATTAAAATTCGCACCTCCATTGTCAGCAACCATTCTAACATACAATTGTAATTAAAATCGGCATTATACTTCTTACAAAAAAAATTACCTTGTCATTTTTCACTGGTGCAGACTGCGTTGTGAGTGCGCATGCGCGTGACACTACGTATGAATAGATAGATACATAACAGAAGATTAATGACGTATTATAGATTTGACATTTTGCTCTGATGATAGATTAAATGTTAATAAAGTTATGGGTTGTGAATCGGATTAGCTTGTCTTATGATAGTCAGTGTTGACCAGACTCATTCTACCTTCCTTTACGCTTTGAGCAAAATTTATAATTATATTGCATTAAACGATCATTTTATATTTTATAACAAAGTGTTCACTCCGACATCCAGTGTAAGATATATATGGCCGTTACCTGACATGGTAAAGGGCTTACTTGTGTCAGTAATCCCAAGGGCGAAGCGGTCTTGATTTTCAAATCTTATAGGGCTACGCATAGCGGCGGAATTGGCAAAGTTCTACATGATCCGAACGGCCAAAAGGCGGAAGAGTGAAGCAACAGTCGAGCTGGCGCAACCAAGGTATCCCTTGACAGACCAGGCATCCGACAACTTGATGCAACCAGGCTTTCCAGATCATGCCTATCTTAAACCCCCTTTGAGCCGGGAGGGAGGCGCTTCTGGCCATGTGTGGGCTTCTCCGTCGTGCAGAATTGGCCGCCAAAATCAAATTCACGCGAATGGTCTCAACAAACTCTCTCTCTCTCTCTCTGATTCACAACCATCTCCGCTACCACCACCAGTAGAGAGAAGGGTTATAGGGAGAGAGAATGACGACCCCGATGTTCGAATGCGGACGGTTGCCAAAAACAAGCCAACATTTCATATTATAGTTTACGAGTAATTAATGTAAAGATTATAGAAAGTATTAGACAACTAAAAGAATGAAATAGAATAAACTGAAATTCATATTTAACGTTTTGCGTGAAAAATACAGAATGGTAAGTGCGACGCTGAGATCCGAAGACGTATTGGGATGGCCAAAGACGCATTCCAAAAGCTAAGCAGAGTATTACAAGACAGGAAGATTACTTTGGTAACAAAGTAAACAGTACTGAGCTGATACGTGACATTCCTTCTTTACTGCATCGAATGTTACTCGGTCACCTAAAAGATGAAGAAGAAACACGAGACAACAGAGGTATGGTTCTTCAGGAGGATGCTAACGATACCATGAACCGAGTGTGTGAGTAACGATGAGGTTTGAGAGAGGATTCAAACAAGGCGGAAACTCATACTTAACATCAGGAAAAGGCAGCTTTGAGATGTAATGTGAAAAGAGGTATAGGAGAATCTGATACTCACAGGTTGAATAGAGAGAAAGCAATGTATAATATACGTAGCGGGCTTTAGTAAGTGAATGACAGAACATGGTCTGCGGGAAGTAATAAAGGGACAAAATTTACTGAGAGCTACAAGGGATGGAAGAAATGGAGAGACATAATCGCCTTGCCCTGTGGGGACATGGCACATAAAAATAAAGAAAAGAATACCTATAATTTACGCAAAAAATAATAACTTCCCGTTATACGTTAAGCTTAATGATTTTGACAAACTTGAAGAAAACTTGCTTCGACTTAAATAATAAAATTCTGAGAGAATTGACTAATTTTCAGAAGGATGCTATATATTGGGAATAAACTTAGAGATTATTTTTCCGTTTCGGTCTTCTTGACGATTTCTAGATACTAAAGACATACTTAACTTTTCATATCCACTGGTGTCATATCTGACCAACCCTGCAAATGGCTACCTGTGATCCTAAGAAGTAAAGGCTAAGCCCATTGCGGAATAATACAAAATACACAAACGATCACACATACACGCGTGACAAAATGTGTGCGTCTGTGTGTTGTCTGAAATATACACACACACACATATATATATATATATATATATATATATATATATATGTGTGTGTGTGTGTGTGTGTGTGTGTGTTGATCCTTCGCCAGTCCCAATATGTGTTGACTTGCTTTTATCAGGGATGTGAAAACTTTAACGAGTGGACTGCAGAGAGCATTGCTGCCTGGCTGTGTTGGTCCATTTTGGGACAATGGGAAATTACCATTTATTGGAAATAAATGGCTATAAAAACGCTAACGGCGATTTCTTATGGGTGCCGCCATTTTAGTTTCGACTGAATGCTTGTGATACAGACTTAAGCTAAAGTACATTCTCATCGGTCTCTATAAAAACTTAAAGAGCATTGTATTGAACGTCAATATACGGCTAAGTTGGCTTCGTAATAGCACTAAGCGAAACTTAATTTAGAACAAAATACTGAGGTGCTATATATAATGGTGTCTTTAAAAATTATATATATATATATATATACAGGCAATATTTTCGTCATGACTTATAAATATTATTTGTATCGTTCGGGCTGTTATCATCATCCTTATTGCCGGATGTTGTACGCTCCGACATTCTTCAGTTGATATACGCTGAAATTTCGAACTGAACTCTTCATTTAGGCCACGGGGGTAGATCTAATTCCACGTGCCATACTATTTTGGGATATCTCAGTAGCAGTTAATTACCTTTAGTAACTCAACTCTCCAAGTTTTTTTTACGTATATATATATATATGTATATATATATATAGATAGATAGATAGATAGATAGATAGATAGATAGATAATAATAGTGGTAAATATACACATACATATGCAAAATATATAGATATATATATATATATATACATAGGTGCATACACATATATGTATATTTTTTGATTAAAATTCCGAGAGGATAGAATCGAGGTAGAATTCAATGTCCAGGACAGAGTAAGGATATAATAAAAAGGCTTAAACACTAATATTCCATGGTCATAATTTATTCCATTGGAATCGTAAATACGATCCAATTCATCAGACCTACAAATTCAAAAAGAAAACAGAAAAAAACACTCCGGAAATAAAAACAGAATTTAGAGAGAGTCTAGAGAAGGAGGGAGATTAAAACTTAACAGAGAGAATTTTAGGAGAGGTGAGTGGAAGGGGTTTAAGTAAGAGAAATATGAATGTTGTCGGATGTCTAATGCATAAAGATACATTTCATGGTGACATACACACACCATAGACGATTTAAAGTTGAAGATCAGAATAAGTAAAATTGAACGACATTTACTGGAAGGCCCGCTGTGTAATTGAGAAAATTTGACAAATTTAATATCGACTACAGGTTACAAATCAAATATAAACATATAAAAAATAAATATAACGATTATCTAATCTAGCAAGGACCTATATTTTTATGTTCAAAAACACATGCGAATACACACATACACAATAACATATACACGTATATACATACTCATAGGCGTTTAGCCACATACACACATACATATACCGATGTACAGACATATATAGATATATCCACATATCCACACATACACATATCCATCTATATCCATATACACACACTTTTCACATATATATATACATACATACACATGCACACATACATATATATATATATATATATATATATATGCACACATACACATTCATACACATACACACGCATACACACACATACATATATATATATATACACACATATATATATATATATATATATATATATATAAATATATATATATATATATATATATAAATATATATATATATATATATATATATATATATATATATATATTTGTATATTTAGGCAGCAATCCTCCCTTTATGCATGTATCATTAAAACAACAGAAAAGGTACTACGGTTGCTTTTTTTTAAATTTTCCTTGTGTTCGAACAAGAGCTTTCTTTTCTGGACAAAGGGTATGTAAGAACTGCTCAAATATTTTATATTTCCGAGCGTTTTCGGCTATACCTTTAGCTATTATCTAGGATGATTCGATTTTCAGCTTAATTGAGGGTGTACGTTCTGTGTATGTATCAGTGTGTGGTAGGGATTTTTTTTTTAATTTCCGAATATGGTCAGCACATTGTTTTTAATGAAACATGCATATATATATATATATATATATATATATAAATATAAACTATTTTTTGTAGTGATTTTATAACATACTTATGTTATAAAATATTTTTTATAAAATAATATATATATATATATATATATATATATTATCACATAAATATAGCACACCTTAAGAGTGCTCAATATCAGAGATAGTGCGTGTGCAAATATAAAAGTCATCACTTAGAGGCGGCCGCCTGTTTCATGCTAGACGCAATCGTCAGGCCACTGATGCTTGTTTTTCCTCTCGGCTATTTATAATGATTATAAATAGCCGAAAGAAAAAAAAACTTAAGATATGCTATATTTATGGGATAAAGTCCTCAATATCAGAGATAGAGCGTGTGTAAATATAAAAGTGAACATTGAAGTCAACACTTAGAGGCGACAGTCTGTTTCATGCTAGACGCCCTAGCAGGAAACAGACTGTCACCTCTAAGGAAGAGCTTATAGTAGTTCCAATGAGAGAAAAGTGTGTATATTAAAAAAAGGAGTGAGAAACCGCAAACGTTTTTGGTTGTAATGTGGATTTTTTTTATATATATGCTTTATTTGTCATATGGAAAATAAAGCATAATTTTTTTTTTAAATCCACATTACAACCAAAAACATTTTTTCTTTTCTTTTTAATATATAAAAGAAATATGTTGTAGTGGTTGCAACGAGAGAAAAGTATATTAAAAAGAAGAGAAGAGAGGTGCCGCTAACGTTTTTGGTTGTAATGTGGATTTATTTAGAAAAAATATTACGCTTTGTTTTACATAATTTTACGACACGTGTTTCTGGTCTCGCGACCGTCTTCAGTTAAAAGTGGAGATTTCTACATATTATTAAAAATAATTAATTTTTCTTCATGTTCAATGTGAAATATTCTCGATATGAGACATTCTCTGTTTGTTTGTTGGTAATCCAAATATATATATATATATATATATATATATATATATAGTCAATTGATATTCTTTGTAAACTTATGGATATCCTCAAATACTGATTTAAAACATTTTTCCACCGTTATAGGCATCATTCATTTATAATTCGAGTCTAAAAAACTAATTAGCAAATCTAAAATTCATGACGTCACGTCATTACCTACAGTTTTAAACATTTGCCTGCAAATATGCCTGAAAGAATAAACGAAAGAGAGTGCTAAGTCTTCATACATTATTCTCAAAGTGAAATGAGGCAAGAATAGTGACAACCTGTTACAAAGAATGCACTTCTCCGTAAGGCGCAGAATGCATCAACAAGACCAATACTTTTAAACATATTAATTAAATGAACTTAATATTTGTTGTTTTTTTAATTAGTTTTTATAAGTTTAATATCTCAAATATATATTCTGATAGTAATTGCAACAAATTAACGGAAAAATAATCATAATACGATCATTAAATACGGTTTACTTACATGTTTCGGACTGTTATCGTCATCTTCATTTCCTTATTAACAACATTTCTTCAGGTCAATGGAACTTCGAACCGAATCATTTATTTTTTCCATCGGGTAGATTTTTCTAGTTCTACGTGCCATACCTCTTCCGGATGTCTCCGCTGGACGAAATAAAACGTTCGTTCCGAAATTTCAGTCACCTGAAGAAGTCTGGAGCGTACAACGACCGAAACGTCATGAACATGGCAATGAAGATGAAGATAACATTTCGAATAATGTAAGTAATCATAATACCGCATCTCAGAGTTATAGACAGATATTAAACAATGTATTTTCTCGCTTTTTCGCTCGTTTGGTGTGCCTGTTCGTGCAACCTTTTTACGCCGTTTAAGGGTTAGAAAAGAGAAAGGTTTTATTAGAAATAAAAATTGGATATTACGATATAAACGAACTTTGATCCTTAGTGTGTGAAACACAAAATATCTTCTTTCAATCCGAGCTAAAAATAAGTCAATGTTGAAACATATACTTATTAAACACACCCGTTATCAAATAATTTGAATTGTCTACTTACTGACAGTCAACATATCATGGAAAACAAAATTTTATTTAAATTCTACAGCTAGATACTCCGAAGAAAACTAGATGATTTCGCAACATTTAATTTATTAATTTATTTTGTTTTACGGCATATCAACTTCAATGGGTTATTTAATGCTGACAAAAATTTGTATTGCTGGTAATACTTTGTTTTGTCAAAAATCTGTTTCTGGTAATATATTTCCTTCAAAATTGTATTGCTGGTAACATTTTTTTTTCAAAAAAGTATTGCTGGTAATAGTTAACTATTTGCCCATACATGGGACCCTAATAGATGCTCCAACCCCTGGGCAGGGTGAACGTGGAAACACCAGCAATTAAGAGGCGGTTCCACGCTCCTCAAAACCTCCTGATCAGAGACCTTGCTGCTGGACGTAGTTTAATGTCTTACCCAGGAATGGATGTAGTATAACGTCTTACCCAGGACGCGCAACAGATAATGTCGGCAGCTATATATTACGCAGATTAATCCGTGGTGATGGTGGGTTATAAAAACACCCAGAGAGTTTAACAAAATAAAGCGGGAAATAGGTTGTATCTTTGTCCAAAAATCGTATCAGGCATATATGTGAGTTTCAAATTGGATACATCACAATCTTAAAGGTAGAGAAATTTAATTGTTTATGTAATGTAGAAAACATATAACAGAATGTGTGACAATATTATCTGAAAGTACGTTTTAGTAGAGAAAGATGTTTGCTCGGAAACTAAGTGATATATTAAGACTTATAAATATTTTATTAGTAAGACATGACTTTCGAACTGGTATATAATATCTATCTCCTTGTATATAAAGATGAGGACAAGAATCTAACCGACTGTGATATGGTTATACAGAAACAAGCTGGGTATACCATAAACAGAACACATTAGGAGAGATTAAACGAGGAGATTAAATGAATCTGTCAGAAGAATGATTTCCATATTTAGAATAAAAAAGAAGCAGTAGAAATTATTGGAACATGGTTGGATGAAGAAGGTCAAACATCTTGGTAAACGTAATACTCACACGTTGTATTTAGAGATGGGCGATAGTGAGGAAAAAGTTGAAAACTTCTAGTTTGAGAATTCATGTGCATGAATAGAAGAGCAGGGTGAATGAGGGTTGGGTGGCCAATAATTAAACATTGTTTCGATCTTCAAGGGACAACAATTTATGGAAAGCCATGATCATGCACACCTTGAAGGAGCATAAAGAAACAATGAGCAACTCACCTAATTAATTTGGGTGAATGATAGCAGACTAGGAACACAGAGGGATGGTAAAGAATCAAAAACTGCTTAGAACTACAAGGAACAGGAAGTTGTGGAGTGCCATGATCAACCACATCTTCAAAAGGCATACATAAAAAAGCAAGCAAATTTCCTAATGAGTTTAGGAGAATAGATATCAGAACCGGAAATAGAAGGTGGGTGTAAAGAATCAAAAATTGTTTGAACTACAAGAGAGAGAAAGTTGTGGAGTGCCATGATCAACCACATCTTGAAGGGGCATACATAAAAAGCAAGCAACTTACCTAATGAGTTTAGGAGAATGGATAACATAACTGGAAATATAAGGTGGGGGTAAAGAATGAAAGTTGCTTAGAACTACAGAGCATTGACAAGGATGGATAAGTTAAGTGCCAAGCATTGCTTTGAGCTGCAAGAGACAGGCAGTTGGAGAGAGTCATGATCCCCCACGTCCTGGAAGGACATGGGGAAAGAGATAGCAACTTACCTAATGTGTTTATGTGAAAGGATAGAAGAAGAGGGACAAGGATGAATGGTAAAGAAAGAAACATTGTTTTGAGCTTCGATGGACATGAAGGTGTAAAAGGACTTGCTCACAGACATATGGAACACGGCAAAAAAAAAAAATGATTATTCTGACCTGTAGTTAGTTTGAAAACGTGAAAGCAGAAATGTGCTTTTTGATCAGATCAAGATACAGCCGTGGTTATAACATTATGTCAACATTTGGTGCGCGTCGCCTGATGTATATGCACGTAAAACAGACTCTTTCCAAAGATGCACAAATTTGTTCTGAGGTTTAGCCGAACATTTCATTTCTCCGCGCCACCACGGCGGAAGTTTGTTAGAGTTTTGAATGAATCGAGTCGCAAGATAAATACAAAATGAAGTTGATTTGTAGAAGCTGCATAAAATGACTGGAGCGTGCCCGAAATACTGGGCCAGTGGTCAGATGACTGACAGCTGCAGACCTCATCATTCGAGATTGATTAGGTTTCTTTCTGACTGAGATATAGGGCAAATGATGTGTTACAGTGGTTTGCGTGTCAAGAACTCTAAAAAGTTATGGAGGGAAAAGGAAAAATCCGAAGAGGCCAGGAGAAATGACGTAGGAAAGAAGGCATGAAAAGCAGAATGAATGAAAAAAGAAAGAAAGAAACAAGAGCATGAAAATGTGTACGAAGAAGAGTGTAAAGAAAGAACGAGAAAGAATAATGAAAGAAAGGCAGCATTTGAATAGAATCGTACAAAAAAATGTAAGAAAGAAGGAAGAAAGAATGAGAAACAGATAGAAAAACAGCATGAGAAAGAAAAAAACTGAAGAAAGAAAGAAAGAAAGAGAGAAATAAAGAAAGAACGAAGGACAGAAAGAAAGACACAGAGCATATGCGTTACGTTGTACAAATAATAATGTAAGAAAGAAAAAACAAATGATAGAAAGAAAACTTCAAAACATGAAAGAAGAGAAAGAAGGGAGCAAACGTAAGAAAGAAAGAAAGAAAAAAAGAAAGAAAAGAAAGAAAGACAGAAAAAAGAAAGAAAAGAGAGAAAGAAAAAAGAAAGAAAACAAAGAAAAAAAGAATGCGTACGTATAAAGAAAGTGTACGAAGAAAAGTGTAAGAAAGAAAGAAGAGAAAGAAAAGATAAGAAAGAAGAAACGAAGAATAGAAAGAAAACTTCAAAACATGAAAGAATAGAAAGAAGGGAGCAAACGTAAGAAAGAAAGAAAAAAAGAAAGAAAAGAAAGAAAGAAAGAAAAAAAAGAAAGAAAAGAAAGAAAAGAAGAAAGAAAAGAAAGAAAGAAAGAAAAAAAGAAAGAAAAAAAGAAAGAAAGAAAAAAGAAAGAAAAGAAAGAAAAAAGAGAATGCGTACGTATAAAAAAGTGTAGGAAGAAAAGTGTAAGAAAGAAAGAAGAGAAAGAAAAGATAAGAAAGAAAGAAGAAAAAAGAAAGCATGTACATAAAAACGTGTACGAAGAATAGTATAAAAACGAAAATACAATATCTGTCAATATTTCTGAATTGAGGTGTTGTAATTATTTACACTATTTACATTCTTTGGACTGTAACAAGAAGTGCTAAAGAAAAGTAGTAATAACAACAAAAAATGCAATATGAATACTATCAATTCATACACTGCTGTCTTCAGTGGATTAAAATATTGGTTGGTTCCAGTGGCTTGACCAAAAGCGTTGTGAATGCAATGGTGAACAAAAACTTGAAGTTAAACTATTGATCTCCGGAACAGTCATGCCACGTGGTACTAGAACAATCTACCCAAGTGGACGACATAAAGGGTTCAGTTCTAAATTCCAATCACCTGAAGAAGACCGCAGCGTACAATGGCCGAAACGAAGAAAAAAAAAGGAAGAAAGTATGAAAGCGTGAAAGAAGAGGAAGATATCATGGGATGAAAAGAAAGTTAACTTAAGAAAGACAGAAGACAGAAGGGAAGTGATAAACAAACAAAAAGAAATAATGCAATGAGAAAGGGGGCATGTGTTGAAAGAAAGAAAGAAATAAAGAAAGAAAGAAATAAAGAAAGAAAGAAAGCATGGGGAAGAAAACACACAAGAAAGAAAAAAAGCATGAGAAAGAAAACTGTGACACTATTTAGCGGTCACGTGAAAATGAAAAGCGAGGAATAATTAAGGCGAGAAGAAGCTGAAATAATTAAGGCGAGAAGAAGCTATCACGAAAAGACATACTGAACGATGTTATTTTTTTTAACAAACAAAAGTGGTAAAGATTTTATTTTCCTTTGCGAAAAAGAAAATGTATGTTTTTCTTTTGCCGAAGATAGGAAATTCGTAAGATCTCGGATCTGTCGAATCAATTTATGTTACGAAGCGGCGAATAAGAGATAGCTATCTGCCCATGGCAAAAATGAAAATCAGATCACGCACTGACTGAGAAAAACATCGGCTGGGCTACCCAAGAGAGAGAGGGAAAGAATAACCCATTAACTATCTTTCGGAGATGTCATTGTTTTTGGAAAGAGAGCACCTGTTTATTGTCCAAACCTGGACATGATAAAAGTTTGTTATCGGAATGGATAATTGTATACAGAATGCGAATACGTCCAGTTGACCACCCACTTGACGCTGGCGGAAATCTCGATTGATAAAGTCCAGGTGACTTTCGGTTAGGATAGAGATTAGGAACCACACTACGTGCCGTGGGAGGTCTGCTCGGGGAAGAGAAGGAAGGAAGGAAAAAGAAGGAAGATAATTTTTTTCTTTCCTTTGAGCGGTAATTGCAAACACTCAAGCTGCTGAGCGTTCATTGGCTGAATGGTGGCGCGAACGGTAGGCGAAGGTATACATGTGAGAGAGAAGGGAGGCCTGTTGACGCCCCTGAGGGGATTGATGTGAGATACCACTGTGAGAGAGAAGGGAAATCTGTTGACGCCCTCTGAGGGGATTGGTGTGAGATACCAATATGAGAAAGGAAGAATTTAGGAGGACGATAACCTTAAGAACCCCTCTAAAGCAAAAAGTAATGGACTTCCAAAAATGGAAAGTGATAAATTTTCCTGTCCGAAAACAAAGAAAATCCTTATTGTGGATTTAGAATTATCGAGGAACCCCAAACCACGACAACCCCATACTCGGTTTTGGTCGGCGTCCATATAAGCAGAGTCTCAGCGAGTTAGAAAGTAGAAGGCAGTTGAGTCAGAGAGAAGTTAGTTGCAGTTGAAGGGACGCATACAGAGTTGAGCTGTGAGCTCTGACACCAGCCTCGCAGGAAGCTGACTGAAGATCCACGCATCCGGATTCAACTTCTAACCAAAAACAATTTATTTTTGAAGAACGACTTAGACTCACACCACCAAAACAAGTTTTACGAATATCGCCTGAAGATACAGAAAAAAAAACAGTTTCTTAAAAAAAACAACTTAAGCTGTTAAGACTCGCCTAACAAACACAAAGTGTCACAAATCCATATTAGCGGTTTGGGAGAAAAGCAGTCCTGTACTCAGCAACCAGATATAAAAATATTTGTTATTCTCTCACATTTGAACTTTTCGAGTTGTTACTTTATTTTCTTTTACATATACTTGTGCAGTGTTACCTTTGCTCGGACTAGGCTTGCATTGCGGCCCGGCGACTGATTGATTTCGTCTACCTAAGATCAAATCACAACGTGGGTAGGTTAGACTAGAAATCAAAGCAGTTACTTCGGTAACCAGACGTTGGAGGCGAGCTGGGAACGACAAAGATGATACCGAATCTAACCAGATTTCCATTCGAATCAGCCAAGGGTTAGAACGTCACATTTGGTGCCGCGACCAATACCAAGTCACATTGGTCGTCACAGGATTGCACGGCGACGGGCGCGGAGAGAGGCTCGGGTGACGTCACAAAACACAGAAAGAAAGAAAAAGAAAGCATGAGAAATAAAACACATAAGAAAGAAAGAAAACATGAGAAATAAAACACATGAGAAAGAAAGAAAAAAGAAAGACAGCATGAGAAATAATACAAATATGAAAGAAAACATGATGAAAAACACACAAAAAACACATAAGAAAGAAAGAAAATATCGGAAAGAAAAAGATAAGAAAGAAAGAAACAGAGTATATGCATTAAATGGGGATAATATGATAATAAGCGATAAAGATAGAATGTAAAAAGGAAACAATAAAAAAATGAAGGTTGGAAAGGAATTGTCAGAAATAAAAAATAAAAAAAATTGAGAAATAAAGCAAGCCAGAAAGAAAGAAAGAAAGAAAATATTTTGAGGCGTAGAATAACAGTTTGATCGAATCATAGAAAATGAAAAATGAAATGAAAGAAAATGAGAACAAAAGGAATAAAAATATAAAAAGAATTTCTCCATATATTCCTACAAAAACGAAGGAAGAAAAAGTCAAAAGAAAGTTAAATTGTAGGAAAATATATTAGAATAAACGAATGAATAGAAAAAAACAAAAACATTATCGTTAAGCTGCAACTAGAGGCGATTCATCGTCTGTACATCATAGTAGAACCAGCCCCCTTTATCGTTTGACGCCATTCCAAGAAAATCCTTACCAAAAATAACGGCACCTTCTAGTCTAAGATTATGCATTATGCTAAAAGAAATGTACCTAACCGAGAAACGCAAAAAAGAAAAACAACGACGTGGGCAAGCAGAGACAAGTCAGCACAATATTAAGAGAGAGAAAAAGAAACATGGATGTCGTTTTACAAAAAGATGCTGTGAATACCATGGACCGAACATGTGAGCAATGACAAAGTTTTAAAGAAAATAGAAACAAAAATCGACATATCATCAGAAAGCGACATTTGAAATTTCGAGGGCATATAATGAGGAAAAAGTGCGTAGAAAACTTGATACTCACAGGACATATTGAAGGCAAAAGGAACAGAGAAAAACAACGCGTAACTTACCTACAGACTTAAGTAAATGTATGTCAGTACAATATCCGAGATATCAAAAACAAAATTTATTAAGAGCTACTAAGGAGAAGAAATTGTTGAGAGGCATGATCACCAACATCCTGAAGTGACATGCACATAGAAGAAAAAGGATATTAACCTTTTCCTTTCGGTATTCACTTGTCAAGCAGCCAGTGCTATTTTCGTTTGAAATTTCTAAAACTTATTTTTTAAAATGTTTTTTTTTTTCCGAAAAATAGGTTTGCAAGTCCAGTAACTATTATTGCTCTTTCCAGTACTGAGGATGGTTTCCTTCCTAACCTTTTGTTTGAAGTGGTGTGGAATGTGATTATATCATTAATTTCTCTACAAGATACATATGATATCCATTTGAAACAGACCGGGTGATGGGATTTATATTATTTGGTACAATTGTTTGTGATTCTGTAGCGCCAGAACAAAAGGCAAAAAGGGATAGTTTTACGTACGAAGGCCTCACACCCTTCATTCAATCGAAGCCATTTTAATCATCGATCTGAGAAAATCGATGTAAACAGCTAGGAGTTTAGATATTTCTGAGCGGGTTGGTAACAGTACATGGCATCCATATGAATGCCTTAATCTGAGGAGGTTATGTGGATTAAAAATGTAAGAAACCTGACGATGATGAAGAGAAAAGAAAAACAAAATAAAAAATGAAAGTCTCTAGACCGCAAGTTGAGCAGATGAATTATATAAGAAAAGGCGCGGAAAATATGAGAGAGAAAAAAAAAAAAAGAAACAGAAAAAGAAAGAATAACGGAGGGGAAAAGGGGGAGTAAGGCGCATATGGACTGTTTAAAATGAGCGGTTAGAATATCCAACTTGCAACAATGTATCTAACACACTATTATGGAGTCAAGATTTTGGGTAGCGCTTACATAAGCTCATTTTATACACCGACTGGACACATATATATATATATATATATATATATATATATATATATATATATATATATATATATATATATATATATATATATATATATATATAGAGAAAAAAAAACTTGCACTCTTGGTATCGAGCACCCTTTTGAATTAAGGCTAGGAATGTTAGAATTTATATTATTTTCGTTCTCCTTACATTCGAGACACACACATATATATATACATACATATATATATATATATATATATATATATATATATATATATATATATATATATATATATATATAGATTATTTCATATTTGATCACACTGGGCAAACATTATGTGCTAGAACTATGTGTATCTTTTCAAAACATACAAGTGAAGCCCTTGATTTAACAATATAATTTATATTAATTTTCCTTCGTAGGACTACTCGGTCTAAATAAAATATAGGGATGTCAATTCTAACACGTGTGCCAACGTCAAATATCATAAAAAATCTTTTAAAATCTGTGTCTGTGTGTCTATCTGTCTTAAAATCTATGCACCAGAGATCTGAAAAAAAAAACCAATGATTTCAAAAGAAAACAACGTAAGACATTCCATAAATCACCCGTCCGGTATCACTCTTCATGTGATAATTTCAATATAATATTGA